CATTATATTATATATTATACTGTATTATATACTATATTATATATATTATATATTATATACTATAGCAGTGTAATATAATGCAGTATTTTTTCAAACTTGGCGTAAATTGTGTGGATTTCAAGTCCCAGAATTCCAACTGGGAAATTCTGGGGGTTTGTTCCAGTGGTGAAATCTAAAATTTGTTACTACCGGTTCTGTGGGTGTGGCTTGGTGGTGGGTGATGTGACTGGGTGGGCGTGGCCATTTTTTTTTTTTAACTTTTAAAACCATTTTTTCTACAACCTCTTCAGTGAAGAGGTTGTAAAAAAATGCTTTCAAAAGGCTCTGACAATCCCAGCTGAGTTGCCTGATCGGCAGAAAATTTTAAAAAACCCTGACGATCAGGCAACTCAGCTTGGATCATCAGAGCCATTTAAAAGAAAAAAAGCCTCTGATGATCGCACGGCTCAGCTGGGCATGGGGGGTGGGGCAGGAATTTTTGCTACCGGTTCTCCGAACCACCCGCCTCCATCGCTACCAGATCGGGCGATCCGGTCCGAACCGGAAGCATTTCAACCCTGGTTTGTTCACTATGAAATTATGAAATCTATCAGGAATTATGGGAGATGTTGCTCCCAGCACCCTTGAGAAGCTGTCTACTATGGACTGGAAATTTTTAAATTACCTGTGTCAAAGCATTTGATGGAATAATCAGCCAAAGCCACAAGGAATTCTGTTTTCCTGCGAAGAGTGAAAGCCAGAGCAGTGCAAGCTTGTCCTGTTCGTTGAACCAGGTTGAACCTATTGAGACAAGCCAAAATTATTCAGGCAGACCATAAAATGTCATTTACAGCAGCTGTCAAGTCAAGCAATATGTGAATGTTTCACAGACTCCTTACACACTAACAGATAACCATGCTAACGCTAAAAGAGAGTAATTTAACCAAAGGACTCAGCATATTCTAAAACACGCCAGATCTTGTTTACTTGTATTTATGTATATGTCTCTGTATATGTGTGTGCATATGTATATGCATGTTTATATCTATCTCTATCAATGTATCTATACTGTATATCTTTCTTTTTATCTATAAGTTGTTAAACAGTCTGACGGCCTTGAAATGGGGAAAGTAAAATACATTTAGGCCATAATCAATCCTCACCAAATATTATTTTATTAATAGCAATAGCACTTAGACTTATATACCGCTTCATAGTGCTTTACAGCCCGCTCTAAACTGTTTACAGAGTCAGCATATGGCCCCCAGCAAACTGGATCTTCATTTTACCGACCTCGGAAGGATGGAAGGCTGAGTCAACCTTGAGCCTGGTGAGATTCGATCTGCCAAATTGCTGGCAGCTGGTGATCAGCAGAAGTAGTCTGCAGTACTGCACTCTAACCACTGCGCCACTGAGGCTCTTCAGTAATGAAATACTGTATTATTCCAATATTATTAATACATTTTTATTTATTGTGTACATGGAGAGAATCTTGGAAAAAGCCCACATGGCACTAGCATACTTGTACTTCTACCTAAGCAATTCATACATTTTAAGCACGCATAAACTAAATGATGAAAGAAACATGGAGTACCAACCTGTTGCCCACCAAATCAAAAACATAAATATTCCCCTGATGATCTCCAGCAAGTAGATACTCTCCTGAACAGTCAAAAGCCACATTCAAAAAACGTATTGTCTTGGAATGATACCCTGTGGTAGTATGAATAATATTTACTATGATTCTGGAAAGAAAGCACAATGAAGTTAATATAAGGAGAACTGTAGGAGAAAAGGAATTATGTCAGAATAGGGAGAAAGTCTGCTATAAAGTAAAAGGGAAAAAAAAAACCCGAGAGGGAGAGAATGGCTGGCCTTGCATATTTTTGGCAGTTATCTTACACACTGCTTACTTCCCTGACTGGGATGAGATAAATCCATGTTATGCGGATAAAACCCTCAACCAAAAAAAGAGGAGCCCATCCCTGTGACAGAGTTTCAATGAGGCACATCCCTATCAAATAAATCCACTCCAAATGATACATCTTATTTTTTATGGGTGTTATAACAGATTCTCTTGGGACAGAATGCATACCTATCTACCTACCTCTCCCCCATCTGATGTCAACCACTTTTTGCAAAGGGATAAGGATTTTTAATCTGGAGTGGTTCCTTATCAATTCTAGATGAGAAACTCTACTTAGCACAGTAAGTATATTTTAAGGCAGTTGCACCATGTCCATCCTCTCTGTGCATTCAGCAATTTTCCAAGATTCTCACTTTTTTAGGCAGTTGCACCATGCCCATCCTCTCTGTGCATTCAAATATTTTCCAAGATCCTATTTTTTAAGGCAGTTGCCCCATGCCCATCCTCTCTGTGCATTCAGCAATTTTCCAAGATTCTTTTTTTAAGGCAGTTGCCCCATGCCCATCCTCTCTGTGCATTCAGCAATTTTCCAAGATTCTCACTTTTTTAAGGCAGTTGCCCCATGCCCATCCTCTCTGTGCATTCAGCAATTTTCCAAGATTCTATTTTTTAAGGCAGTTGCCCCATGCCCATCCTCTCTGTGCATTCAGCAATTTTCCAAGATTCTCACTTTTTTAAGGCAGTTGCCCCATGCCCATCCTCTCTGTGCATTCAGCAATTTTCCAAGATTCTCACTTTTTTAAGGCAGTTGCCCCAATGCCCATCCTCTCTGTGCATTCAGCAATTTTCCAAGATTCTATTTTGATCAGCATAAAAGCAAGGGGGCATTGATTGACCCCTTTTCATTGTATCACCTGTGCACCAACTACCCACCCACACCTCCTCATCCGCCCTCCAAAAAGTGCTCTTTCTTTTCCCCTTGTTCGGGGGTGGGGGGGTGGGGGGGCTGATGGCAGTTGGAATCCAGCTCTTTGAGGTGGGCCGTGGGCTAATGGAACGCCTGCGAGCAGAAGACGATGAAAAAGCATCGCTCTTGCTTGGAAACAGATAGACTATCCCTGAAGATGGAAGCTCCACGGTTGAACAGCTGCAAAAAGAAAAAAAAATGCAACCAAGTGATGCTGCGTCTACGGAAAGTTACCCCTGCTGTGTTGCCGGGGAGGGTCTGCGGTGCCAGATTTTGCCTTGTTCCCTGTTGCCCAGATCCGAGCTCTGCATCCCGGCGGGAAAGGAAACAGCGACGCCGCCTCACTCAGCCGCCGGACTGAATCCACCCCAACGGCCGCTTCTCCTGCCAGACCGCTCTGACTTAGGAAGATACCAACGCATCATCCTATTGGGGGGGGATAGGAAAGGAACGCCTCCCCTTAGGCGTGGGCTGAGGAAGGCAGAGGCAGGAGACTTTCCCCTTCTTGTGTGTGGAGCATTCCAAGCAAAGCCTGCTGGGAATTGTAGTTTGCTTGGAGGCCGTAGGATGGTCCAAGCGCCTCTCAATCCAGAAAGTAGTGGTGCAGCAGAGGGAAAGGAGGAAGCAAACCAAGCTCTCTAAATCGACCTGTTGAATTTGCAATTGTTGAAGTCAAGAGACTCTTTTTCAGGATGTCTTGAAAATAAATGAACAGCTGAGGTCCCCAGAACAGGTATACACCGTATCATTCTTCCATCTGTTCCAACATGCATTCAGAACTGCATGTAATTATTTTAAAATATTTCTTTGAACTGCCCTTGGGAAATGATGCACACAGGAGAGGAACGTTTATCTACTAAATAAAAGATAACTCCTATTCTATCAATAGCTAGATAACAGAAAAAGAAGTTAGAAAGGAGGAGATATAAATGGAGGAAATGGTATAGAGGCGAGTTGTTAAAGATGAGGATATCAAATGTTCAGTATTAATGTTATATTATTATGTTGCTGTATTATTAATATGATGGTGATGATCTATTACAATAAAGATGTACAAATAGACTATTTAAATATAATTGTACCCAGAATACACAGTTTGATGAAAATTGAATGCTATATAAATAAAACAAATAAAACATGAAAAAATAAATAAATAAAAGGTAACTCCTAACCATATGCACAGAGCAGCAAAAGATGCAGTGAAGTTTCTCAAACTTGTCAACTTTTAAGATTCCCCAAGTCAGCGTGCTGGTTGAGGAATTCTGGGAGCTGAAGTCCACACATCTTAAAACTGCTTTTCTTAGTTCCCCAAGAGTGCTTTTTATAGCATGGTATACCAGGCTAACCCACTTCCCCCCCCATTTCCTAAAAAAAATTGATGCCTTAAATCAGCAGTGTCTTTGTTTTTGCTCCCCCATCAGACAGCTGGCTTTGCTGCGAAAACTGAAATCTTTGGCAGCTTTTCCCCAGGTTTGATACATGAGCATCCTGGAATCACCCTGCAAGGCTTTTCAGTCAGTTTGCATCGACCTCTGCTATTAATTTCTAACTTTCACTTTGCAATTTTTCCCCCCCTTGTTTTCTTTGCTTCTCATTTTGTTGAAAAGGTTTTCAAATACAAATTTTTCCCCCTTTTTCCCCCCCTTTTGCTTCTCATTTTGGATGAGTGGACCGAATCAGAATAGAGCTGGAAAGGGGCCTTGGAGGTCTTCTAGTCCAGCCCCCTGCTCAAGCATACCATCTCAGACAAGTGACTATCCGGTCTCTTCTTAAAAACTTCGTGATGGAGCGCCCACGATTTCTGAAGGCAAGCTGAACGGTCACTAAAGGAACTGTTGTAAGTCGAGGACTGCCTCTATTTACAGCACAGGTCTTCAAAGTTGGCAGCTTGAAGACTTGTGGACTTCAACTCCCAGAATTCTCCAGCCAGCATAGCTTTAAGACTTGTGTCTTTAAGACTCCAGCATAGCTAGCTGGTGAATTCTGGGAGTTGAAGTCCACAAGTCTTCAAGCTGCCAACTTTGAGGACCTCTGATTTATAGAGAACGAGGGAGTGAAAAGCGTCCGGTCCCTTTAAGAGTGGAACTTCCGGCGATGCTACTCTGCCCCTCCTTTATTTTTGCTCCGTTGCTTAGCAAACGGAAGGCGGAAACCGGAAGTAGCCGTTTGGCCGAATTCGGTGTAGCCACGTCGGAAGAAGGCGGGCCCCACCCACCGGCCAGCTCTCAGCCCTTCTCGACGCGCCACTCTTTGGCTGAGAAAAAGAAGCACCGGCGGGAGCGAGGAGCGTGAGGGACCGGCGTCCAGGCCTCCCAGTCACCAGTGACGAAGGGGAGATGTCGGACCTCGGGGACTGGTTCCGCAGCATCCCGTTTATTACCCGCTACTGGTTTGCAGCTGCCATCGCGGTGCCCCTCTTCGGCAAGCTAGGCCTGATCAGCCCCGTTTACCTCTTCCTGTGGCCCGACGCCTTCATCAACCGCTTCCAGGTAGGCGAGCTGGACTACGGCTCCCGGCATGCACGGCGCGCTTCTTGCCTATAGCCCTTAGAAGCAAATGCTGCGCTGGGTATGTTGGGAATTGTAGTCAGTTATGGCAAGCATATGGGGACCCCCCCACTCCAGCCTTTTAGCTTATGGTGGAAGTGCCATTTAGTGATTTGGCTGGGAGGCACCGTAACTTGACATTTATAAAACAAAACTTTTGTTTTCCTTCTAGAAATTGAACAGTGCTTACCTTAAGCAAGGGATGCTTGTTTGTGTGATAAGAGACTTTTAAAAAGTACCTTTCAGAAAATGATTGATGGACTCATCATGGGCCCATCAAGTCATTTTCGACTTCTGATGACCGCATAGATCTTCTCCATGATGATCTGTCCCTAACCTGCTTTTCTCAGGTCTTCTAATGGGGTAGTAACTAAGTCCATCCACTGTGCCTGCTGGTCACCCTCTTCTTCCCTACAACTACTTTCCCCAGGACCAGAGACATCTCCAGAGAGCCAGGTCTTTGTTTAATGTTGTCCAAGCCTGAGATTCTGGTTAGGGTTAATTTCAGCCAATATGGAAAAATTAGGTAGCATCTAAGGGCCTTGGTGGTGCAGCAGACTAAAGTGCTGTTAAGTAGGACTTAGCTGCCAGCTGCCTGCAATTACTGCGAGTTCAGTCTCACCAGGTTCAAGGTTGACTCAGCCTTCCATCTTTCCGAGGTAGGTAAAATGAGGACCCAGACTGTGGGGGCAATAAGCTGACTTTATATAAAAAATAACACCCGCTTAGGGGGGGCTGAAAGCCCTACTAAGCAGGTATATACAAAAGTATGAAGGCTATTGCTTAACGCATTGTAAGCCGCCCTGAGTGTCCGGAGAAGGGCGGCATATAAATCGAACCAATAAATAAATCTAGGGCGGGGAGGGGGTCTCCAACCTTAGCAACTTTAAGCCTGGCGGACTTCAACTCCCAGAAAGCTGGCTGGGGAATTCTGGGAGTTGAAGTCTGCCAAGCTTAGTTGCCAAGGTTGGAGACCCCTGATCTAGGGTACACCAGTAGGATTCAGTTTCCCATTTAATTATTGTGAAAATGAAATTGCTATATGTAGATATATATATGTATGTATGTATGAATTGATTGTGGGGTTTCCATTGTGGCTTCCCATCCAAATACTGCCCCAACCCCAATGTGCTTTGCTTTGTATGGATACCACTCTGGTCAGAAGGTTAATAGTCATGTGAAACTAGAGGTCATTCCAGGCCATAGTAGTTTACTTGCATGCTCTTGGCTGAACATGGTGTACACACTTAAAACCATAACACGTTTATTACATGGTGCGATCATGTCACTGAGTGAGCTTTGCATAACAGTTGAAAACTGATCAAAGGTGTTTTGTAAATTAGCTCTGAAACTGAAAGTGGGAAAATTTGCATACAGCGTGGTGGGAAATAACTGGTCTCAGCAGGGAGAGGCACATAGCATAGCATAGCACAGCAGAGGGCTGAGAAAACTTGTAAGTAATGCTGGGCAAATACTGAACTTACCAAACAAGCGCATACAATTACTATTTTGCATTGGTTGCTGAAAGCCAGTTTCTTGAGAGGTTCAGTTTTCTTCTATTTCATCATCCCTGATTCACTTTGATAAGATAAGTGTGAAAAAGTATGTGTCATGTCACTCATGGAACAAAATAAATAACGCCTTTTTTGAGAATGGATGTGTGGGAGGTGTTTCCTTTTTCAGTAATCATGGAAACAGTTGAGCTGCTTTAATTTCCAGCCATTGCTAACAAAACACAACCTGAAATGGGAAGGAATATAGAATGAATAAATAAATAGCACGAGCAATCAATTGAATTGTTTGATTTATCTTGGTCACAGACTTCATTATTTATTGCCTTTTGTCTTGTTGCAGAGCTATATTTTTAGTGCCAAGAATATAAACAATCATTAACATTCAGAAGGGTTTCTGGCATTTTGATAGGCACCAATATAGTGAAAAAAATATGGAGTAATTTAAGTTGGAAGGCTAAGTTGGTTAGTCTCTTTTTCTTTTTTTTCTTTTTTGAGGAGGCCAGAGTTATTTAAATCACTGTTGTGGAAGATTTGATTCTTTTGTTCAATATTTGTTTTAGCTGAACGAAATGAGTTTTTTAGGAAGGTGTTTAATATGCTTAGCTATTCAGAATTGCTTTCCCCCATTATTCCTTGCAAATAGACATGGAACACCGGGTGTAGAAAAATAGATAATAAAAATGTTGGGTTATACGAATTCTCTAAACTTGGTTTTTCATTTACAGACATTTCATCAGCTGTCTGAATAATTATAGTTCACTGCTTCAATCTTGAGCTACGTATGTTCTCTGTAGGATAATAAAAATGCTTCCTATGAATGAATGTTTCATTTTATGAAGATATGGAAAATACGATAAGAATTAAAGTTGTGTGATAAAACAGTTTTCTATCTGATTTTCTGTCAGTCTTTTCCCATTGCCACCTATGTTGGTATGCTAAGAAAAGCAGGGGATGGAGTGTAGAAGGTAGATTTCAGCATTTTGAAATGCCAATTTCTTTGCATTTTAATGCGACCTCGGAGGAATGCAAAGGGGAATAGAGTGATTGTTAGGTGCAAGACTATATTTCTCAAGATTGGAGGAGAAATGTGCTTCTTTGTAGACATTTTATTTTGAGAGACATGCAGTATCTTAGACACCCAGATTCTGGGTATATTTCCCTCCCTGTTCTTTGCTTTGAGAATACCAACACATAGAATTGAGGTAGATATATCATTCTTTTATCATAGAGAGATACAGCATTTATCTAAATAGGGAACTAATTGCTCCATGACATGCTCTTACTTGATAGGATGCCTTCTAAACATGTTTAACTGTAGCTCAACCTCTGCTGGTGCAGCCATTCTCCATATTGGCTTTGGACAAGGAACATTATTCTCCAGTGCATCAAAGGCAGTGGTGGGTTGCTACCGTTTCGGGCAAACTGGTAGCAGCGGTGCCGGGAGGCTCCGCCCACCTGCCAGGATATCATCAAACACAATCTGTGCATGTGCAGAAGCTTCTGCGCATGCACAGATGGGGCACACGCTCGAACCGGTAGCAAAGGTAAGTGAAACCCACTCGATCCAAGGGTTATGCTGTTAGGGGATATTCCGAGTCCAAATGAAAGCATGGCTTGCCTCTTGCAGGAAGGCTATTTATGTAGTGGTTGCCATTTGCTTGGTTAGCTGGGCTATTCTTAACATGTGACAGACAGGAAAGTCCCCATAACAGGTGGAAAGTTGTTAAGTTCACATGTGACAGGCAGTTGATGGCAATCATAGTAAACAGCACGCAGAAAGCAACTGTCCAGTTATAAATCTATGGACTCTACGTGAAGTCTCAGATGTTGCCTGTGCTTCTGTATATACTGTCTTACAGTACAGTATATAGATTTGTATACTCCACAGCCAACCATCCAGAACCAATACCAAGGGCGCTCAAGTCATTTGTAATAGTGTAATAGTGCAACTGTTGAATATTTGGGATGTCCTCTCTGCTATCAACCATCCATTGTCTCTTCCAAGAGAGTCCTTTTCTGACTTCCATCATTTTATGACCAGACAGCATATCCAAATCTTACTAAATCACTTTGATAGATTCCCCCACCCCCCATTATGACCTTTTATTGAAGCTTGATAATATTTTCTTGTAGGGCTAGAGTAATATCTGCCACTCTCTCCATTTTTGTGTGTTGCATGAGAGGTGCGTTTGTTGGTGGTGGAGAAAAACTTATTAACAGAAGAAAAAAAAACCACCTGAAATTGTTCTTACAACTATATACCAGAAGACAGAAGAGAGTTTATGAATCAAAGTTCTTTTAGTCCTTTCCTAGTCAAGCAAGGGTGTCCAACCTTGGCAGCTTTAAGACTTGTGGACTTCAATTCCCAGGATTCCCCAGCAGGATTCTCCAGAATCCTGAGAGTTGAAGTCCACAAGCCTTAAAGTTGTCAGAGTTGCATATCCCTGCAGTAAAACTTTGGCTCAATAGTTCCTCTTCAGCACTGTTGAATCCTGGTGTCTTATCACCCATCAGACTAACAGTGATGGGGACTCAATGGGCTGGTGGGCTGGGAGCTTTCCACCCCCAATAATCCATTAAATAATTATAGATCTGACTTTGTTAGTATGTAGTACAATACTATTTTACCATTACTGATGTTGTCTGATGCAAGTAACTTTGGTATTGTTTAAACAAGTTCTCAAAAAACAAGTAATTTACATATCTGCTGTTTTTGTCTAAACAGATCTGGAGGCCAATAACCGCCACATTTTATTTCCCTGTTGGCCCAGGGACAGGCTTTTTATATCTGGTGAATCTCTATTTTTTGTATCAGTATTCATCACGTCTGGAAACAGGTAAATATACAACCGCACCATTATAATGTTCAATTATTTTTTACCTTTGAGGATGGTAAACAGACTTGTCAGTTTATATTTTTTAAGTCAGCGTATTTAATTTACACTCTACATGGACCTATAGAAATGTACATAAATGTCTAAAACTGTCTTTGGGCAATTGAGTGTATTTGTAAACTGAGGCAAAAAGCTAGCAGCTGTAATCTGTGACCTTGGCTTGGGAATCACTTGAATATTCAGATTTCCCTCTACAAGGCTAGGAAGACCTCAGAGAAACTATCCAAAAGATTAAAACATCTGTCACGTAAATAGCCAGAGGCAGATTTCCCCCCTTATCAGTGAAAATGGAACTCTCCCTCCAGCACACAGTAAGGCTGTGAATAAATTTTTAAAAAAAAATCTCTGCTGTATTATAGACATTGATGTATATTTCAAATTAGTTTACTTGCTGGAATTCTTATGCCAGTGTGTTCTTTCATCTTCATATGTCCCGGTAAAGAAAACTTTGTGAATTTGTTCTAGGAGAAAAAAGATTTCCAGTCTCAGGCAATTGCTAAATGTTTGGCAAAAGTGATTTAAAAATCTTGTTAATTGTATTTTTAACTTGGCAAGTATCTTAATTGCTTATTTCCCATCATGTAGCACTAATAAATTAAAAGTGCATGCAGGCCATTTTCCTTGGATGTAATAAGATAATTTGTGATAATGCTTGATTATTACTAAGTGTAAGTACCTTTTAAATACAAGGAACACAAAAATTGCTTTCTGGTCTCCTTCTTATAATAAATCAAATCTACTGAAGCCAACCAGTTAAGAGTTGCCTTTTAAATACTCTGGGATTGTTCTTATGTAGTTTATTTAGAAACAAGTTCTAGCATAAACCAGTTATTCCCAATTGCAATAATTGTGTAAGAATTGCAGCCTTCACTGATCGAACTTTGCAAACAAAGAATTATGTAATGCATTTCTCAAACTCAGATTATGCTGCAGGAGCTATAGAGTTTATAATGTTGACTATGTTATCAACCTTGTACAGTTAGTCCTTGACTTACAACAGTTCATTTAGTGCCTGTTTGAAGTTACAACAGCACTGAAAAAAGCAACTTATGACTGATTTTCACATGACCTTAGAAGCATCTCCATGGTCACATGATCAAAATGTAGATGTTTGGCAACTGCTTCATATTTCTGACAGTTGCAAAGTCAAAGGAGAAGCCAGATTCACTCAGCGTGTCAACTCTGAAGCGAACCCGGCTGAAGCCATCTTGTGCTGCTGCCTCATAGTTGCCACGAAGCCTGAGAGAGGGAAGGGAGGTGGGGAAGTAGATAGCCCAGCTAACAGTCAAAATAAAGTTTTCCTGTGGGAACCAAGGTCATTGTAACAGATGGCTGGTGAAGGAGGAGAGGAACCTGCCAGCTATATTCATTGGACAATGTGACTGAAGGGGAGGGGGAGTTTTACTCTTTTAATTAGGTGAAAACCACGGAACCTTTAGAGTTGGTTTTCACTGGCTGTGCAGATATGATGTACCGTATTTTTTGGAGTATAAGATGCACCTTAGTTTTTGGGGAGGAAAATAAGAAAAAAACTGATTGGCAGATGGATTGGCCTCCCGGAATACCCCCAATCAGCTGTTCCCAGAGGTGAATTTTAGCAACAGGTTCCTTGGTTGTGAGCTCTGTGCCTTGCTGTTTTTTGCTTTTTTTTTGCCTTGGAAAGCCTCCAAAACAGCTTCAGAAAAAAAGCCTCTGAAGCTCTGTTTGGGGGCTTCTTTTCTGAAGCTTCATTTCTGATGCTTTTTTTCAGCCTCTGAAACCTCCATTTGAGAAGCTGGGCAGGGCTACATTCGGAGTATAAGACGGACCCAGATTTTCACCCTCTTTTTTGGGGGAAAAAAGTGTGTTTTATATTCCGAAAAATACGGTCCAATAAACATGTTCTTTGAGGAACCTACCCTGCCTCGGTCTGCTTTCAATGGGTGCGTTACTCGAAATGCTGACACAGCAACCATGTTACTAACTTAGCGACAGTGATTCACTTAACAACTCTGGCAAGAAAGGTCATAAAACGGGGCAAAATATTTAACAACGTTCTCGCTTAGCAATGGAAATTTTGGACTCAGTTGTGGCCGTAAGCCAAGGACTACCTGTAGTATGTTAATTTTGGGCAATATTTGTGGGAAAACAAAAAAATGAATTTGATGCTATAATTTTGTATAATATTTGGTTGGGGAAAAAGAAAGCCTCCAATGCTAGAATTCATATTATGTACAGAGACTAGTAATTTAGATTTTCCTACGAAAACTGGCCTTTCAGATAACGCTTTCCCATAAAATACCCTCACCGAACAGAGCAGCCTCTTGTTTCCTCCTCCTCGGAACAAAAGTTGAAGTTGCAGCCCGCGATTTAATCACAGCCTTCTGAAGGCTCCCACAGCCTCTTGGGGAAAGGGAGAAAAAACAACTGCCAGGGATTTACGTTCACAGCAATGCCATTCTTTGTTCTCAGGTGCTTTCGATGGAAGGCCTGCCGACTACATGTTCATGCTGCTGTTTAACTGGATTTGCATAGTTGTATCCTTTCCTGAATCTGCTGCCAACGTCTGGACAGGTTTGGGTCTTGGAAAAGCATCCCTCCCCAACCAAAGGATGCGGAAAATGGTTATGGAGGCTTCTGTGGCCTTTTTTGTTGTTGTTGTTATTGTTAGTTGCAAAGTCGTGTCCGACTCATCGCGACCCCATGGACAACCTCCTGGCCTTCCTGTCCTCTACCATCCTCTGGAGTCCATTTAAGCTCACACCGACTGCTTCATTGGCTCCATCCAGCCACCTCATTCTCTGTCATCCCCTTCTTCTTTTGCCCTCAATTGTTCCCAGGATTAGGCTCTTCTCCAGTGAGTCCTTCCTTCTCATTAGGTGGCCAAAGTATTTGAATTTCATCTTCAGGATCTGGCCTTCTAAAGAGCGGTCAGGGTTGATCTCCTCTAGGACTGACTGGTTTGATCGCCTTGCAGTCCAAGGGACTCACAGGAGTCTTCTCCAGCACCAGAGTTCAAAGCAGTGGTGAAATCTAATATTTGTTACTACCGGTTCTGTGGGCGTGGCTTGGTGGGGGGGTGTAATGTGACTGGGTGGGCATGGCCAATTTTTTTTTTCCCCTTTTAAAACCATTTTTTCTACAACCTCTTTGGCGAAGAGATTGTTAAAAAATGCTTTCAAAAGGCTCTGACGATCTCAGCTGAGTTGCCTGATCGGCAGAGGCTTTTTTTAAAAAGCTTCTACCGATCAGGCAACTCAGCTGGGATCGTCTGAGGCATTTAAAAGAAAAAAAGGCTTTTTTTCTTTTAAAAGCCTTTGACGATCCCAGCTGAGCTGCACGATCATCAGAGGCTTTTTTTTTTTACTTTTAAAAGCATTTTTTGGCTGAAGAGGTGGTAAAAAAAATGCTTTTAAAAGTAAAAAAAAAAAAGCCTCTGATGATTGTGCGGCTCAGCTGGGCATGGGGAGGGGCACAGGGATTTTTGCTACTGGTTCTCCGGACCACCTGCCTCCATTGCTACCGGATTAGGCGATCTGGTCCGAACCGGGAGCATTTCACCCCTGGTTCAAAGGCCCCAATTCTTTGGCGCTCAGCCTTTTTTATGGTCCAATTTTCACAGCCATACATTGCAACTGGGAAAACCATAGCCTTGACTATATGCACTTTTGTTGGCAGGGTGATATCTCTGCTTTTTAGTAAGATATCTAGATTTGCCATAGCTTTCTTCCCCAGGAGCAAGCGTCTTTTAATTTCTTGGCTGCAGTCCCCATCTACGGTAATCTTGGAGCCCAGGAAAATAAAATCTATCACTACCTCCATTTCTTCCCCATCTAATTGCCAGGAATTGAGAGGGCTGGATATCTTAGTTCTCTTAATGTTGAGTTTATTTAATGTTGTGGCCTTAGGGAAGTCATTCCCAGCACCCCCATTTCTCTTCTGATACTCCTGAGTCCACATGTTTGGGTGGGAAAGGTGATAAATTCAGGAACAGCCACTGTATAAATGAATGAGAATTTAAGATTTGCTCGAGACTCAATGGCTGGGTTCACACAAAAGCTGGGTTAACAAAGCATGATTAGTGTTACAATGTGCCAAATGAATAAACCATATTATGGCCTAACATGATAGTCTACTTGCTGGGTTCCTGGACTCTGAATCTCAAAATATCAGAGTCTGCTGCTAATGTGTTGTTTGAGCCCAACTTGGTTATGATTGAGGGAGATTTTACAGGCTAAACTAAAGCCATGCGGAGCAGGTAGGCAGAGATCCAAATCTATTCCGCCGGCTCAAAAGGGCTTCAATATGATAACAAATACTAGCATTGATTATTCTACTTGTCTAAAATTGAATCGTTATAAATTAAGTATTAAATGTTTGCTTAGTTTGGATTTCCTTAATTAAAATGAAAAGATTACTGGCTTAGTAATGAATATGCAAGTAAGTATATCCTTTTTCTTTTAAAGTCTTGCAAATCAGGTTTATTAGGACTTTTGGTGCCCGTCCTTCCAAATCAAAGTTACAAATGACATTAAGAAACAGCCATTGGAGAATGTGGCCACTTTGAAACATAATGGTAGCCTCCGGTTCCTGCCTTTGCCCTATCTTCTAAATCAGGGGTCACCAACCTTTCGGACCTCAGGGACCACCAAATTCATAATTTTAAATCCCACAGACCACTAATGTGATTTTTTTAAAAAAGATAAATAGTATTTAGTGCAATATAAAAAATGCAAATAATTTTTCTGCGGACCGCCAAAATTTTCTCGTGGACCACCAGTTGGTGACTGCTGTTCTAAATGGCTCCATAGAGACAGATGGAAGCTTTTTCTATTTTGTAATGAGTAATGTTTAAGCTTATGTTTAAACCCAGAGATACGCAGCAGTTTTACGATTAGTTACTGAAATAAGCCAGTCTCAAATCTTGATTTATACATGTGTTTTCAGGAAATGAAAGTTAACATTAATCACAACCGAAGGTTCAGATATAGTGCTAAAATTGCAGTTAATTGATAACAGAAAGAAAAGTTCTTGCAGGATCCAATCTTGAGTTATTCACCAGGATCAAAGATTTATTCTTCCGAGCTTTCAGACTCCTGCTGGAGCCCACCCTCAGGGAACTTCTCTCACGCTGTTCCCTGAGGATGGGCTCCAACATGAGCCCAAAAGCTTGGGAAGAATAAACCTTTGGTGCTAGTGACTGACTCCAATTGGATCATGCAACATTATCCTGGGACACATATATTTTACCTTCACTAAAGAAAAGTTTTTGAATGTATTCTGTTAGCATCTAGTGCTCTCTCCAAACTCCTGATTAGGTTTTAGTGTTTGTGTTTCGGGACTGATGTCTTCTGCAGTGGCCGATTTCCACAGAGCTGTCAGCTTTATGTAGCTTTATGTGCTTATTGGTTTTATTAGATTTAGCGCAGGTGTCTGCAATCTGCGACTCCGGAGCCGCATGCGGCTCTTTGGGCCCTCTGCTGTGGCTCCCTGTTGGATGATTCCACCACTGGCTGGCCCCACCCCTCGCCCTCCCCTCCCAGTCACTTCTCACCTGGCCTGAGAAGGGTGACGGCGGGAGATGGAGAAGTGGCCGGGGCAGAGACAGAGAGATACAGAGAGAGGGGGAGAGAGAGGGAGGGGGAAGGGAGGGGGAGAGAGAGAGTTGTCAAAAGGATTTTGTAGTTCCTATTGTTTTTTAACAACCGGTTCTCTCCCCTAATGACCAGCTGGGTAGGCGTAGCTGGGGGGGGCATGTGACTGGTGAAAGTGAGTGACGTGAACCACACCCACCGAGGTTTTGTGGCTCCCGGTGTTTTCTGTGGGAAACGGGTCCAAATGGCTCTTTGAGTGTTTAAGGTTGCAGACCCCTGATTTAGCAGGTCATGGATTATGGAGAAATCTGCAAAATGTCTCCCCCCCCCAAAAATGTTCTTGTTCCAAATTAATTCCCCTTTTTTTCCCTCAGAGAAAAAAAAAATGAACAGTACGGAGGTGTATCTAAATTGAACAGGGATTTTCGTTGTAATATTTTTAAGTACAGTGTGTGAGTCTTCATATAAACCATGTCGGATCCTTTGTTCTCTTATAGTTGCTGATGATCCCCCTGATCATGTCCGTACTTTATGTTTGGGCCCAGCTGAACAGAGACATGATTGTGTCATTTTGGTTTGGGACTCGGTTTAAGGTGAGTGGCCTTAAGAGATGAGCTTCTGTCTTTTGGACGTCTTGCCCAAATCCGTGGAATTTCAACATCCAATTGAATCATGGTAGCCATTCCTTGATTCCTTCCAGATTTTTGAGAGAAGTTTGACATTTACATATCTGACATCTGTGTGATCTTTTCCTTCTTGACAGTGCTCCATATACAGTTCTTTAATGGAAGGAAAATTACAGAAATAGCTGTAGGGCAGCTCAACAAGTAGAAGAGAGATTTCATAAAACAGAAGGTTGTCTCAAGTGTAATAGTGAATGAATTTTTTGAACAAAATGGTTAAGGGAGACATGGCTGCATTCTGCAGATAAGGAGACTATAGTGCCATGATGGTGAACCTGTGGCACCCGGGCCACAGGTGGCACACGGAGCCATATCTGTGGGCATGCGAGCGTTTCCCTAGCTCAGCTCCAGTGCGCATGCGCATGCCGGCCAGCTGATTTTCGGGCCTTCCAGGCCCACCGGAAGTCGGGAAATGGACTGTTTCCAACCTCCGGGGGGATGAGGAAGGCTGTTTTCGCCCTCCCCAGGTTCCAAGAATGCCTCTGGAGCCTGGGGAGAGTGAAAAACGGGCCTTCCAGGCCCACCATGCCATCGCGTGCCAAAAGCAGGGGAGTGAGGGGGGGATCGTGCGTGCATCAGCGGGGGGGGAGGGGCACATTGAATTATGGTTGTGGGCACGTGTGCACACGACACCCCCCCCACGCTCCCCACGCTTTTGGCACGCGACGGCAAAAAGGTTAGCCATCACTGCTATAGTGAATGCCATTTAAACGTTAAAAGGGTCTGTCTTTTGCAACATCTAAGGAACATTTTTAAGACCCAGAAGTTAACGCTGGAGGCCATTCCACTGTATTTTTGCTCCACTTAGTGTAGTGATGGCAAACTTTTTGGGCTCTACCTATCAATAATTCAGAAAATGCCTACTTTTAACTCCTGAATTTCTTCCTTTCAGCCTGGTAGTTTGTAGGCTCATCAATCCAGCTCCCTGACTCAACAGCTGAGAAAACATGGTGGTCTGGGAAGAAATAACATAAAAGCATGTTTATTCAACATGCTAAGCATGGCTTAGTGTTAATCATAGGAAATGAAATGTAACAAACTGATGCCAATGCAATTTGGATAGTAGGATAGTTTACTGTCCAGCCAGTATCTCAACCAACAATTTTTTTCGGGGGCAGCTCAACATTGCATTTCCTTGTTAGAAATCGGGGCCCACCAAGTTCAGCACATGAGATGAAAGGATAATTTTGCCCTTCAAGTTCATTATGATAAACATATGTGTTGTTGTTTTCCTAGGCATGCTATCTGCCATGGGTTATCCTGGGATTCAACTATATCATTGGAGGCTCGTAAGTATCTCCAGATACTTTGTCTCTGCTTTATTAATTTACTTAATTTATATAGCCACTCATATGAACTGCAGTGGTGCAGTGGTTAGAGTGCAGTACTGCAGGCTACTTCTGCTGATCATCGGCTGCCAGCAGTTTGGCAGATCGAATCTCACCTGGCTCAAGGTTGACTCAGCCTTCCATCCTTCCGATTTGGGTAAAATGAGGACCCATATTGTTGGGGGCAATAACGAACTGTAAACTGTTTAGAGAGGGCTGTAAAGCACTATGAAACGGTATATAAGTCTAAGTGCTATTGCTATTGCTATATCACTGTGGTAACTCTGGGCGTTTCAACAGCATTTAAAATAAAAGTTCAGGTAATGTAAAACCACAATAGTGACCAAAGAAGAATTTGCAACCTCATGGGCAGGAACAGATCCAAAGCTTCAAGGCTTTATGAAAGCTGACAGGGTTAGGGCCAATCTAATTTGGGAATGGAGGGGAATGGAGTGTTCCAAAGATCAGGTGCTGTGACAGAAAAGGCATGTTTTCTGTTCTGGAAAGAAGGCATTGGGGCCCAAAGCATGCTCCTCCTGTCACGCCAGATGGGATGTAGAGAGACAATCAGGACTCCATAATCCTGTAAATCAAAGTTTCTTAACCTCGGTCATTTTTAGATGAATGTGGATTGAACTCTCAGGATTTCCCAGTCAGCTGAGTGTGCTGAAGAATGGATCTTAAAACTGGCAAAAATGTGTTAGTGAACACCAACGTTATTGTGGTGGTGGGGAGAGAGCCTAGGACTCCTGGGTGTGATGGGAGGCCCAGGCCCAATTCCTGTCCTATGCTTGGGAGTCCTGGGCCTTACTCTCCAATGGTCTGCTTAATGACTGCATCTGGAGAGCTGGGATTGTGATCATTGAGCAAAGCGGTCACGTGGTGACTCACTGAATCGCTTTGCTCAACAGCTGAGATTCTGGACTCTCAATTGTGACTGTAGGCACAGGACTGCTTATATGGCCTGAGTATTGATTTAATGGATTACTAAAGAAGCACATACTGTCTTATTGTTATATTACACATTTGTCATTTGTAACGTTTCGATAATTGTACTTGAGCATATCTGCTTTCCTTTGTCAAACAGGTTATACCTGTATTTCCTCATGCATTTAAATTCTTTTTCTAAGGAGGGGTCCAGGGCATGAAACTTAAGAAGCTCTGCTGTAGGTGATCTGAAAGGAAGGGCCTACTGTAGTACAGGGGGTCCCCAACGCCCGGGCTACAGCCAGTTCAGAACAGGGCTGCGGAAGCGGCAGGCGAGTGTGCACACCTCCACATGCCCCAAAATAATAAGACTCCACAAAAATAAGGCCAAGCGCTTATTTCGGGGTTCAAAAAAATATAAGACAGGGTCTTATTTTTGGGGAAACACGGTAAGAGTCTCGGGTTTCAACTTCCAACAATGAATTTTCCCAAGGAAAGCCAGCTTAACATCCTTCTTCCTTCTGAAATTATAGCCCAGTACTAAAAATTCTTCTGGGATCTAACTTTCAGTTATTTTTATTATCGTTTTTCCAGTAACACTCTTTTCTGTGTACGTAGCTAGAAGAAGGATAAATACTTAAGTGACCATTGATAACTTAGAATATATTGGAATTGTAACAGTCTTCCATAATTATGAATTGTACTGTCTCAAGGCTTTCTGAAGTTAGAACTCAGATAAATGCCGTTGATGATGGAGATTGTGACTTTTAGCTTTCTTAGGTTCTATTATTTTATGGCATTCGCTTTTTAAATTCAGTATTTAGTCTGTTAGCACTGTCTTCCCCACAGGTCTGCAAAAGTGTATTTTTCAAAAATGTTTGCAGACAATATGCAAACCTTGGGGTAGCTTCTTTGGGTTATTTTCAGTCTTAGCAGCCTTCAAGCTCTTCAAAAGTGCAAACCCATTAGAAATTGGCCCTGTTGATTAAGATACTTTCACATTATTAGTAGAAAATGCTTCATTCGCTAATTTTTAACACTATAAAATGCTGTTTCCTAATATCCCACAGCATCGTCAATGAACTGATCGGCAACTTGGTTGGTCATCTATACTTTTTCTTAATGTTTAAATATCCAATGGATTTGGGAGGAAGAAATTTTCTGTCAACACCTCAGTTTCTGTAAGTTGGTTTATCTTTTTTTTTTTTTAATCAGACTTGGAATACCTTGGAAACGTTATTCTAATTAGAATTGAAAACAAAAGTACAATGGTAGTAATGAGACTCATGCACATTTTTCCGGATGGCTGGATACGTAATTAGGTCAATTGCTGCATTTCATTCATGTTTTGCCCCTGACATAGACAAATGGGAAACATTGATTCAGTCAAACTATTACAAACTCCCAAATACAAGATTCGCTCACTTCCTCCTTTATTTTACTGAAATATTGCTGTATAATGATAATGGCAGTAGGCTCCAGAGTTTGTCTTGGCCTCTTTGTTTTTGACCTCTGCTTAAAAATTTTTTTTGTTTCTTTCTTTTTCTTCTTCCTTCCTTCCTTTCCTTTCCTTTCATCTATGTCTGTCTAACCTAATCTAATCTAATCTAATCTAATCTAATCTAATCTAATCTGCTTTCCATATTATTGCCAGGTTAAATCTACTGACCATGGCCGTGTAATTCTTGACTCCAGGAAGATATTACCTTTACAATTAATCTGCCTTTCTAATTTAAATTGAAGGAGCACTGCATGTACAAGAATCCTTGGAAAAGCCTGGCTTCCATTCTGCTTCCAGAGGAGCTATAATGACTGCTTTTTTATTTTTATTTCTTTATCCTACCTTTATTATTTATAAATAACTTAAGGCAGTCAACATACCTAATATTATTTCTTCCTCCTATTTTCCCTACAATCCTGTGAGTTGGATTGGCGAGTGACTGGCTGAAAGTCACCCCACTGCCCTTCATGCCTGAGGCGGGACTAGAATTCACAGTCGCCTGGTGATTTGGCTCAAAGTCATTCAGCCACTCTTCGTGCCTAAGGCAAGACCAGAACTCACCATCTCCTGGCTTCTAGCCTGATGCTTTAACCACCTAAACCAAACTGGCTTTCTTACTAACACAAGACAAAGGACCCTAAGGATGAGGCTTAGCTCAGATATTGAGATTTCCTGCCCACGAAGGTGTTGGATACCTGGAGTATCCAAGTGCTGTGTTCAGGATGCACTAAGGCTTCTATGTTCTCTGTCACAGATACTAAAGAAAGCAAAGAATGAGTCTGTAGCAAAATGAATGGTGTCCTTGTGACAAGTGGGAGCTGGTACATCTGGTTCTGTGACATAGGGCTAGGCCACTAGGTGCTTTTTAAAAATAATCTATTTTAGAGATCCTTATGATGTCACACCAATGTGTTTTGTGGTAATTAGTAATCTCAGCCTTGACATGCAAGAGTCATCTGACTCCAGGGTAAGAACACTCTCTCAGGCTGACCAGAAAAGCCCAATCCACTCACTTCCGGTTTGAATCCACTCACTTCCAGTCAATAAGGGAGAAGAGTACTTGGAGACTTTTTAAAAATGACATTAAAAATTTAATGAGGTTAAGAATGCAAGGAACTGTCATCTTTTGAAAATGTGTGACCTGTTCGGAAAGCTTCCTGGGAGTAAAAAACCAGCTTGAGGCTATATTTTTTCACTAGCTGTTGGGAAACAAGTTCAAAATAGAAAGCCGATAGAGAACTCAAGACTTACATTAACAAGAAATGGCAGGGAGAGTTAGATATAAATCCAAAAGTAAGATAACATCCCTGCCCAGAGACTGATGCTGAAATTTAGCCACACCCCATTTACAGGTAGCCCTTGATTTACGACCAAAATTGAGCCCAAAACATCTGTTGCTAAGCGAGACTGTTAAGTGAGTCTTGTCCCAGTTTACAAACCTTTCTTGCCATAATTATTAAGTGAATCACTGCAGTTGTTCAGTTAGTAAAAGGGTTGTTCAGTGAGCCTAGTTTCCCTATTGGCTTTGTCAGAAGGTCGCAAAAGGTGACCACATGACCCCGGGACACTGCAACCCTCATAAATACGAGTCAGTTGCCAAGCATCTGAATTTTGATCATGTGACTACAGGGATGTTGCAAGTCATACATGTGAGAAATGGTCATACGTCATTTTTTTTTTAAGTGCCATTGTCACTTGGAATGGTCACTAAACGAATGGTTGTAAGTTAAGGCGGGAGGTGGGGGTTGATTTTGTTATATTGTACTATATTAATTTATTTGATTCTTTTTGTTAGTTTTTATTGTTTTAAACGTTTTATATTCTGTAAGCCGCCTTGAGTCGCCATGGGCAAATAGGCGGCAATATAAATTCAATAAATAAATAAATACCATATTTTTCGGAGTATAAGACGCACTTTTTTAAAATTATACTTATACTTCCCCCCACCCCAAAAGAGGGTGAAAATTTGGGTGCGTCTTATATACCGAATGTGGCCCTGCCCACACGGGATGCGGAAGCCGAAAATGGTGGTGCGGAGGCGGCAATAGGCTATGGCAATCCCTGCAGCTTGAAACAGCTGATGGTCGGGAAGCCAATCCAACCGACAATCAGCTGCTTGTGTTAATCAGACTGTGCAGAAGCTGAAATTGAAATGGGCTGTTTGCTGCAAGGAGGCAAATTGCTGGGAGGCAGAGGCAGAGGCAGATTTTTTTTTCTTGTTTTCCTCCCCAAAAAAGGTGCGTCTTATAGTCCAGAGTGCTTTATACGCCGAAAAATACAGTACCTGTATACTTCATTTCCAAGATACTGTCCCTGCTTTCTGGCATTTTGACCAGCCCCAAAAAAGCAGTTTTTGCAATTATGACCTCCACTTGACCCTCACGTTAAGCTGGGAAGCCTCTTAATAGTGGCTTGATTTTCAGTAAGACACACAGAGCAAGCCGCCTTGAGCTATTTCTCAGAATTTTCAATAAGAGTCTAAACTGGTTAAAAAAAAAAAAAAGCCAAAGCTTTCCAGCTTCTTTGTACAGGTAACACTTCAATTTATGACAATTGAGCCCCAAATTTAGGTTGCTCAGTGAGAAATTTGTTAAGTGAGTTTTGCCCCGTTTTACGACTTTTCTTGTAATATGGTTGTTAAATGAATCTGGCTTTCCCCATTGACTTTGCTGGTCGGAAGGTCGCAAAAGGGGATTGTGTGACACCCCCCCCTCCCCGGGACGCTGCAAACCGTCATAAATGTGAAGTCAGTTGTCAAGCATCCAAATGTAAATCCGAATGTCCCTGGGGATGCTGCAACGGTCATCAGTGTGAAAAATGGTCATAAGTTTGTTTTTTCAGTGCCATTATAACTCGGAACGGTCACTAACCGAAGTGTTGTAAGTCGAGGACTACCTGTACTGAAACTCCAGCCTAAGCCTATGTTGCTTCTTCAAATTCAATTTCAACCTCTGCTGAAGTCTTGTTCGGCTGCTAAAGCCGAATAGGGGCGAAGATGGCCGCCTGAATTCCTTCTTCTCTTCACCCGCAGGTACAAATGGCTGCCCAACAGAAGAGGAGGAGTATCTGGATTTGGGATTCCTCCAGCCAGTGTGCGAAGACCTGCAGATAATCGCCAGGGAGACACAAGACACAACTGGGGCCAGGGCTTCCGGCTGGGTGATCAATGAAACAAAACAAACAAAACAAAAAAACTTTCTGCTTTTTTTTTTTTCCCCTTTTTTCTGTGAGGAACATCTTCGACAACACATGGGAATGTTTCTTGCTGTGGAGGGTATCCGAGGACCAGGTTTGCTCTAGTGTTGTTGGCTCTGACCCGTTACGAATTCTTGTTTGTTCCTGGCGGAAGACAACACGACTGAAGAGACAAGATAAGATTTTATTCCAGGCCATTAACTTCTTTAATTCACTGCTGCCATTAAAAAAAAAAATGATACTTTTTTTTTAAGGGTGTCCAACACATTGTACTTTCTATAACTGTTCTCTCGAGGGAATTCACATTCGTCAATTGGTCTTGTAGGCCTCGCTTCATGAAAGAGCCCTACAAAAATCCTTCCTGAATCCAATTTGAGGTCAAAAAAAGTCATCGGAGACTTTTCTTCCTCCGGTTTGAATTAAATTAAAATGTTCAGGTCCACAGTGATGCTAAGGAAAAAAACACTTCAGGTACCTTCAGTTGCAGTTTCTCTTTTATTTAGTTGGAAACAACTCTTTTTTTTTTTTAATCCCATTTTGAGTGACAGGTACTTCTTTAGCCAAATCAGATTCGATTGGTAACAAATTCTACCTGGAGCCATTAAAACAAAGGAAGAAAAGTTTGGCTGAATAATGCTAGTTTTTAATTTGCAAGCTTACTGCAGCCTCCGTACTCCCAGCATAGCAAATGTGGTGCATTTTAAATGCACGGTTCTGTCTGCACTGACTTTGGAATGAGTTCTATTGATCCTGATTTTGATGGGGGTTTAATCCTATGCATATTTAATTGGAAATGAGAAAAAAATATATGATCTGTTGCCTCGAATGTATAACAGTGGCTTTGGTGTGTGTATCCTGGCATGAAGGACTGGGGAATGCTTCTCTCGCAGGTGAGTGTGAGAGAGACAGACTGAATGCAGAAAGATCTGTTGAATGCTTAATGTAGAAAATACCTCTTTGTATAATGATGAAAGCAACAGGAATCAGATAGCTGAGCTTAATAAAACAGATAACTAACTTCCTCCAGCATTTTTCATTTTTGAATGAAGCACAAGCATAGTGTGTAGGAATAGCTGATGGAAGATGGTGATTCGTTTTCATGCAAGAACCCGGTGTCATAATGTGGAGCTGCTGACAGGTGATGTTGGAAAACATTGCCAGGTGTGCTGTGATAAGGGAGAGTCAGACTTCCCTTTGCCTTTTAAATTGGTGTTTCCCAACTCTGGTGATTTCCAGTTGGGTGGACTTCAACACCCAGAATTCTCCTCAATGGCCATGCTGACTGTGGAATTCTGGAAGTTGAAGTCCACACAGCTGGTAATTGCAATGGTTGGGAAAGACGGCTTTAAATGATTGGCCTTCTCTAGAGTTTGACGGTCTTTGACTTAATGTTAATTAGACAAGACCCACTATGGAAATTCAAGAAGCATCATAGCAATCCTAGTCTTGTCTCCATCCCCTAATTACATTAGCCCATGGGTGGGGAATGATGGCCCCTTTATGACTTGTGGGCTTGAGGAGCATGGCTGGCTCAGGAATTCTGGGAGTTGAAGTCCACCAGTCATAAAGGGGTCATTGTTCTCCACCTCTGCATTAGCCGAACCGCCTACGATACTAAAATAGGGATACAAATGAACAATACAAATAGGGATATATAGAGAGATACAAATTCAGCTCTGCTAGGAAATGATGCTTCCCCAAAATGGGAAGTGCTGTACTCATAATTATCAATGCTTTGTTTTTCCCCTCACAATTTCTTCATGCCCTGCCAGTGCTCCTTCGAATCAGTGACTGGTTTGATAAACTGGGAGTGATTTCATTGTTGTCTGCAACCAGTTAAACCAATCCCTTTATGGACTCCGAGGAAAGCCTTGATGATGTTTTCAGTAGTGCAGTAATATGTTGACTAAGGATTCAGTTAGCACCAATTTCTTGATTCTTTATCAATCTGGCCTTGGTTTTTATTTATATCTAATAAACTGACAAAAGACCCAGATTATTTGTACTTGTAATTGTTTTTTTTTTTTTTTAAATTTAGGAACCCACTTTTTAAAATGTCGTTGGACACACTTGTGTTTCTATGAGTTGTTACCCAACAGAGGAAAAAAACGGCAAAAGAGGACAGAATGCTGTGCATACCTCAGCCTTTGGTTGCTCAGATTCTTCCGCCAAAAAAACCCAAGCAATGGTTTTAAATTAACTTTTTGGGTGTTGCTATGCAAATTAGAAAGCAGTTGTGGGCTTGTATACCTCTTTTTTTCCCCCTCGTGGCTGAACGCTATGCTTTAGATGTTAACTGAAGAAGCATATTGCAAATATTATTTTGGCCAAAGCTAGCCTGTTTGTAAAGCAAGAAGTCAGCTGTTAAGATCTAGAATACACAGTAGGTTAAAATCCAGGACAAAACATTGCTGCATTTTGAGGAAAAAATATTGGTCGACTTTCAGACAGCTAGCGTTTTTTTATGCACGCTGCATTTTTACAGTTTTCAGAACGCACACTTAAAAGGCCAGAGATTGCTTCCTTATTTAGACAATTAATAGGATTGTCCATGTCACCTTTTTAATTAAAAAAATAATAATAAAAGGAGGAATCGAGATTAGGACAGTTGTCCCAGTCATGCTGCTTTTTTTTTGTGATATGAATTCCTTGACTTGGGGAGAAAGAAGGAAAAAAAATTATCTCCAAATGAAATTCTCCCATTGTTGGAAACAGTTATTCTGGTAGTTCTTCAGAAAGATATTGCTGGGAGAGCCTTCACTTGGACTTTTTTGTTGGATTTCTATGGAGGCATGGCTTCCACTGGTTATTAAGCAACCATGAGTAGCTTCCTCCATGGAGCATGGCACTCAATAATGAAAAAATAATAATTGTTTCACGGCGAAAGTGGTGTTCTGATGAACAGAACAGCAACTGAGCTCTTCAATTGTGGGAACTGGTAACAACAATTTACCTCCCATGTTTGCAGGAACATAAAGAGATCAATTCCTAATGTGTCCCATCCTTACCAATAGGAAGAAAATGGAGATTAGGTTTGCTTGTTTATCTCTTCAGATAATCAGGAAGGACACCTAGATAACCAGGTTACATTATATGTGGGAATGCCTTGATAGTGACTTGTGGTCTAGCTACACCTTGTAGTAATTCAGATAGGTGAGGGAGGACAGGTGAGGGAAGAGAGTTCTACCCTCAGAATTGGATTTGGTTCTTTGCATCTCCACATCAGCAGATCTGTGCATGTGGAAATCCTATCTATTAAGGAGACAGCCTCTAGGTACCTTTTTCTTGAAATGCTGGTTTTTTCAGAAGCAATGATTTCATTCAAAAAATTGGTCTGCAACAGTCACACCTTACTGCTTTCCTAAATTCACTCTTGCGACTTTTCAGCATTGCTTTGTTCCCCTGAAGCACTTTATTCCGGGTTTTAAGTTGATAATGTCAAGGGCAGATTCTGTTGTGAAACAGGTACCTCTATTCTTTTGTATAGACAACTTCTCTTTTTGTAACTAAATTCTTTTTTTTTTTTTTTGTTCTTGTCATTGGTAAAGTTTTAAATTAAAGCTGTAAAACTGTAACCGGTTGTTTATTTTGGTTCTGTATTTCTTTATATTACCGAGTTGTAAGTTCAAGAGAGTTCTGAATCCAATACAGGGTCCTGAAAACAATTTGAACAGGGAGTTTTCCTGGCTTGGAAAAAATTAGCACTCTACTTTTCCACTAAACTATATAGTACTGGGATGGCGAACCTATGTCATGCGTGCCCAAAGTGGCACGAAGCCATGTCAACCACCACGCATGGCCTTGCCTGTTTGTCTTCCGGGTTTCTGGTGTGCATGTGTGCACGACAATCAGCTGTCCATCGTGTGCGCGGCAGTGCTGAAAACTGGTGTGCGCATGTGCACTGGCCAGCTAATTGTCGGGTGGGCATGCGCATCAAAACCCGGAAGTTTGGCTTTTCTGGAGCGTGATCCCTTCTTGCACACAGCAGTGCCGAAAACCAGCCAGCGCATGCGCGCCGGCCAGCTAATTATTGGGTGCACATGCACACCAGAACCAGAAGTTTGGCTTTTCTGGAGCGTGATTCCTTCAGGTGCGCGGCAGTGTCAAAAATCGGCCTGCGCATGCGCGCTGGCCAGCTGATTGTCCGGCGTGCATACGCGGTAGAACTCAGAAGTTCAGCTTTTCTGGAGCGTGATCCCTTCATGCGTGCAAGCAGTGCTGAAAAGCAGCCTGCGCATACGCACTGGCCAGCTGATCATTGGCCACACATGCACACTAGAACCCGGAAGTTCGGCTTTTTCCGAAGTGCAGCCCTGACGAGCGCGCACATCCACACATGATGTTTTTGTGCGACCTTTTCGACACTTGGTGCTGAAAAGACCATCACTGGCATAGTTATTCCCAATATAGCACAGGATTTTGGTTGTCTATGGTTAAGAAGCCTCTCCAGAAGTTGTTGTACTACAGGTAGTCCTTGACAATTGAGGCCAATATTTATGTTATTAAGTAAGAATTTATTAAGTGAGTTTTGTCCCATTTTACAACATTTCTTGCCACAGTTGTTAACTGAATCGCTGCAGTTGATAAGTTAGTAACCTGGTTGTTAAGTAAATCTGGCTTCTCCATTGACTTTTGCTTATCAGAAGAGCCATGGGACGCTGCAATGGTCAGTTGCCAAGCATCTGAATTTTGATCACATGATCACGGGGATGGTGCAAAGGTCGTAACTTAAAACAGAAGTCACTTTTTTCAGTGCCATTTTAACTTTGAATGGTCACTAAATGAACTGTTGTAAGTCGAGGACTACCTGTATAACCAATTTATTCTCCAGTCTTCTGGAAAGATTTTGAAAAATTCTGCCCCATCTTCTACAAAAACCTCAAATATTTCGAGACAGAATGATCGTATCTCTGCAATTTTCCCATACTTCCAACCATTTCTCATAATCCTTTCCTTCCAGGCCCTTTAGTTATGATAGATGTTCTCCTTTGGATATGCATCATGGGACAACTTGCTGCTGTCAACTCAACTGCAGCCAACTTGTGGGACAATTCAAGTAATTTAAAAAAATTATTTTAATTTTTGTCATTTACATTTCATCTTGTCTCTCCCTTTGCATCCTTTCTTTAATGATTCTATTCCACCATCTCTTCGGTATGTATAACTATTATCGCATGGTGAGTTGACTTTGGTGAGTTGTTTCATGGCAAGTTGGCTGCGGCAAGTTGTCCTAGACCCCAGTTTGCCATGGATTTCTAGAAGATATATTCTAGATGTCTAATCCAGACTAAAAAGGAACAATGACTTAAACCAGTGATGGTGCGCGCGCATGCACGCGCGCCTGGGCCACAGGGTGCATGCACACAGCCAAAAATAAACTTCCGGTTTCAGCTACTGAACTTCTGGTTTCAGCCAGCTACTCTTCTGGGTTTCTGGTGTGACAATCAGCTGGCTGCCCCGTATGCTCACGCAGGAAAACGGAAGACCAGCTCTTCCAGTTTCCGGCACTGCCGCATGCAAAAAAGCCAGCTGATAGTTACATGCGTATGCGTGCCAGAAACCCGGAACGGGCGACGCCGCACATGCCAGGCAACATGGCTCCACATGCCACTTTGGGCACGCGTGCCATTGGTTTGCCATCACAAACTTAAACCGTAGCACCTGTCTCTTCCTTTGATAAATTTATCTTACATTATCAGGATTGTTTTGTTTCTACCCAAATTCTCAGGTTGTTAATGCTGGATAATTGAGTTGTCCACATGTTACACAGAACACTTAACATCTTGGTATCTTCTAGATGAGTTGGACTCACTCTGAAATACAAGTTACTACTTGTAAAAAATAATAGATTGTAATAAAAAATAGAGGCAAGAAGAAAATCTTATCAAAACATTGTTTTACTGAATCACGACAAACAATTGTTAGAAAAGTGTCTCTTTAATTAAAATCTCTAGCATTAAGGTTAAGCAGGGTGTATTGGAGGGAAATGGGACATTCTCTCCAAACCATGCGAAAGTCATCTAAACTTTTTATCAAAGAGAGGCGGTAATTCAATATTTCTTCCTCTTCTCTGCCGTCACCGAAGAATAAAAGTGCACTCAGACATAGAATCTAGCTCAAAACTCGCCAACAAAAAAAAATCATAAACAAGTTAAGGTATAAAGCTTGAGCCCTCTGTTGCAAAGGTTTTTTTGTGTTTCAGATTGTACTACCAGGTAGTAGAAAAGTACTTGGATCAAGTAACAATACTTGACATCTCTAGAGTTCTGGGTCCAACTGATTGGCAAATGGTGAATTACTGGGTGCATTAACAGATTTGTTCTCCTAATCTGATGAAGATTACTTTCCATGCACAGAGAAGAATGCCCACCAGCCAACGTGTAAAATGCGAACGAGATGAATGCAAACGAATGGTTTGAGAAGAGCAAATGTGCAAAACGAGATGAATACAACTTCCACGGAAACAATTGTCGTAATCCCATCGAGTCACCCTGACTCCCGATACCTGTAGGAACAAAGTCCCTGCGGTTTTCTTGGCAACGTTGTCAGAAGTAGCTTGTCAGTATCTTCTTCCTAGAGAGAGAGAGACTGGCCCAAAGTCACCCAGTTGGTTTTGTGCCTAGGGCAGAACTAGAACTCACAGTCCCCTGGCTTCTAATCCAATTAATCACTGCACCTAGCTTATAGTAGTATATTTTTAGTGGTAGAAATTAATGCAGTAGGCCAGAAGGTTTCCATGTTATCACAAGGATAGATTGTGGGATTACCAATTTGTAAGAAATGGATTAGATGACATATTGCTTTCAGACAGCAATGATCTACTAACAAAAAAGGTAGCAAAAAAAATATCTCTGCAGTGTAAGTATACAAAAAATCATCAAGAAACGGAGAAAGCAACACACTACAGAGAAAGCTTATATACAAGGACCTCATTAATTTTTTGTTTAGAAAAATCCTCCAAGTGGGACTTTGGCACGTGAAACTTCTCCAAATAAGCCAGAGATGATCTCTTCTTCCACCTTGACTGTGATTCTGGAGTCCAAACGTGACTATCCTATTTCCGAAGACCTTGTGCGATCCCAGGATTAGTAACCGTGTGCTCTCACGAGAGTCAAAAGGACTAGAAAACTGAATGAAATGCCTATGAATGAGAAAAAGCAAACGCTTAGCCGGGAAGTTACAGCAAGCCGGAAAGCTGGTTTTTCCAGCCTAATACTAATATGCAAGGTGGGGCAGTTCTACAAACATGTTTTTATTATTCCAGGTGCTTTATGAAATGGAACAGACCTACTGTAAAGACTTCAATGAGGAGATCTAGCACGTTCTCAGATATTGGGAGTCTCACCCTTTCTTGGCATGCAAATTGGCTAAATTCCATCTATGCAAACAATTTAACACACTTCTTATTGCACTCTTATTGCCATGTAATGGGATGTGCAGAAAAAGAAAAGAGAGTAAGAAATCTCAAGTCAAAAGATTTGAAGAGAATCCAGAAGCTTCGTCTGATATAGAATACAGCTGCGCAGGCGGTTATATATGTTTCTTGAAGAACACATGTTATACCTCCATTCCACATTAGATGCCAGTCTATTTCCAAGGCCAATTCAAGGTTCTAGTTTTGATCTTTAAAGCATGGGACTGGGTTACTCGAGGGACTTCTTCTCCCCGATTACATCTGCCCATCTCACCAAATCCAGCAAAGAGGGCATAATGCAGGTCCCGTCGACTAGGCACAGGGGTCTCCAACCTTAGCAACTTTTAAGTCTTGTGGACTTCAACTCCCAGAATTCTGGCTGAGGAATTCTAGGAGTTGAAGTCCACAAGTCTTAAAGTTGCCAAGGTTGGAGACCCCTGGACTAGGGAGCTATACTTGGCGGGACCTAGGCAGTGGGCTTTTTCAGATGTAGTGCCCACCCTATGGAGTCTTTCCCCTCAAATGAGGCCAGCTTCCATTTTGTCTCTCTGGAAGTCCATCAAAGCCCTGTTGTGCCATTAGGCTTGGGGACCTCCAGGTCTGCTGAAATATTGAGATGTCTCCACTGTTATTAACACCTGTTTTCCACCCAAAAGGTGTTTTTTTTCCTTTTAGGTTTACGTTTTTTATAATCTTAAAGCTTCTAATAGTAATATTAACCATTATTTTGTATGTATTGTTTGTTTACTCAAATACTTTGGCCACTTAATAAGAGGGAAGGACTCACTGGAGAAGAGCCTAATGCTGGGAAAGACTGAGGGCAAAAGAAGAAAGGGACGACAGAGAATGAGGTGGCTGGATGGCGTCACTGAAGCAGTCGGCGTGAGCTTAAATGGACTCCAGAGGATGGTAGAGGACAGGAAGGCCTGGAGGAACGTTGTCCATGGGGTCGCGATGGGTCGGACACGACTTCGCAACTAACAACTGTTTTGGTGTGTGCTGCCCACCTGTTTGTGAGATGGGTATCTGTAAATTCGACGAAAAATGAATATACAGTATGAACAAAATACATACAAATGGGATAGGAAAAAAGAAATGTGATGAAATGTAGTTCACACCATTCAGTAAGCCACTCAAAACCTTTTATTCTTGCAAATCGTCCTTGCTTTTTCCATCACATCCAGATAAGGCTTCCTACGCTGTCTTGGATTCATTAAACTTCCCCACCTCCTTCATTCGGAGGAAAATCAAGTTTCATCCAATCCTGATCATGTCATCCAATCATGACTTTCGATTCCATCCAATCATGACTTTTTCTTCATAGGGTGATTTTACATTCCAGTCCTCATTCATTCTCTCCACAATTGGTTCAACGGACTTCTTGTGGCCCGTCACTTTTTTTTTTTTTAATTGTTGAATCCATTTTCACTTCAGAACCCTTTCAGAGCAGAATCTGAAAGTTAGGTCCGAATGAATTGAACATTGCAAACTAAGCCCCGCCCCTTATGACGTGATGTGTGCAATGCCATGACACCCATGTTCAAAAATGGGTGTGGGTAAGCAAGATGGTGTGTGGTGGAGCACAATTTTCCTTGGAAACTCTGCTCCAGTTCTTTCAGTATTATTGTCCTTTGGAGCCTAACCTGGAATTATTAGCAATGATGAATTCCTACTTCGATATGATACAGATTAACAGAGTTGGAAGGGACCTTGTAGGACATCTAGTCCAACCCCCTGCCCAAGCAGACCCTACATCATTTCTGACAGATGGCAGTCCAGTCTCCTCTTGAAAACTTCCAGTGATGAAGCTCCCACAACTTCTGAAGGCAACTTTTGTACAGGTTCGCCTGGTGCACCAATTGCGACCCTACTTGGATCAGGAGGCTCTCCTCACAGTCACTCATGCCCTTGTCACCTCACGGTTAGATTATTGCAATACGCTCTACATGGGGCTACCCTTGAAAAGTGTTCGGAGACTACAGTTGATCCAGAACGCAGCCGCGCGAGCTGTCGTGGGTGCACCTAGGTACACCCACATTACACCAATTCTCCGTGAGCTGCACTGGCTCCCTATTGGTCTCTGGTCACAATTCAAGGTGTTGGTTATTACCTTTAAAGCCCTACATGGCTCAGGGCCAGGTTATCTTCGAGACCGCCTTCTACCGCATAGCTCCCAGTGACCAGTAAGATCTCACAGAATTGGTCTCCTCCGGGTCCCGTCAGCTAAACAATGCCAGCTGGTGGGCCCGCGAGGGAGGGCCTCCTCTGTGGCTGCCCCAGCTCTCTGGAACCAGTTACCTCCTGAGATCCGGACCATCCCCACCCTATAGGCCTTCTGAAAAGTGGTGAAGACCTGGCTTTTCCGGCAGGCCTGGGGCCATTGATCTCGCGGTTGTGATCTGGCGAGATCCGGCCATGAATGATGTGAATGGGTTTTAATTGTTTTTAATGTTGTAATTTTTAATGTTTTTATATATGGTTTTTAAATGCATTGTAAGCCGCTTTGAGTCTTCAGAGAAAGGCGGCATACAAGTTGAACAAACAAATAAATAAATCAATAAACTTCTGTTCCATTGGTTGACTGCTCTCACTGTCAGAAAATTTCTCCTTATATACCCACAACTATTTAGATGAAACCAATTCATAGTTTTGGGGCAGGTTCACCTATATCTTAAGAAGTCATCTGTTCTACCCTTCTTCCTGGGGCTAAGGGAAAGGGGTGACCTACAGTCATTCAGATGCCTTCAAGTCCAAAGTGGGTCTAGAACTCCACTGTAAGTCTTCAGGTTCGGGTGCCTTTAAAGACTACACCATAACTGGCTCTTGGTCTTCCACCTAGATTAGATTAGAGATTAGCCATCTCTAAATTTTATTGACAGTCAATAAATTTTTATAATCTATCTCCAATTATTGCCCATTTAGTAAGGGAGGCCTGGTGTTCTCCAGATCCTATCTCTTGTATAGCCACTCCCTTGGTAAATGGCTCAGGATGGCATTCAGTTAACCCAGCTATAAAAATATACGAGCAATAATGAAATGGAATAAAGCATGAAACAAATTACAGTAGTAGCCACAATTGTGGAAACCTTTTGGGAAAAGTGTACTTTCTAAAACTAGCCAATAACACCGCTTTTTTTTTTTTTTGCAGTAGTACCATAAAATTATATATCAATGGAAAGATAATTTAGTCAACAATATAATGCAATAACTTTTATGAAGGATTTGCTATTTATTAGAATAGCAGTTACAGTATAAAGAAGAAAAGTGAAACACATAGAAAAAACGAGATATACAAAAATTATCACCATAGAAAAAACGAGATATACAAAAATGATCACCATGTCAGTTAATCCTTAGTTGGGTAACCTTTAGCATGAATTATGGCCTTACAACATCTTCCCATGGAGTGAACCAAGTCTTTTAGTTCTGCAGCTGTTATAATGTGAAACCAAGATTGAATGGTTGCTCCTATTAATTGGGTTTTATTGTTGGGTTGCTTCTGGCTAACAAGTTTTTTTAGTCTGCTCCATAGATTTTCAATTGAGTTAAGGTCTGGGCTATTCCCAGGCCATTTCAGCAATGGAATAGGATTAACTTGAAATTAAAAAAAAAAAAAAGTTGTGTTATTAGCCATCAAATCTCAAAAATACACTTTTCCCAAGAGGGTTCCATAATTTTGGCCACTACTGTATGCTGGAGGCATTCAGCAACTGAAATACTCCAGATGGATTTACCAATCCTCCTGACTCAGAGCCTGGGGAAAAAAAAAACACAGGGCCTCAAGGTTTTGCAAAAGACAGACAGGATTGGTACCCTCTGAATCACGAGAAGAATACTCTCTCTTAGGGCAGCTGCAACAGCAGACAAAGCAGGCTTCCTGGGTCCTGTAAAATGTCATAATTTAAACCAGAGCTTTCCAAACTTGGCAACTTTAAGACTTGTGGACTTAAATTCCCAGAATTCCCCAGCCAACTCTCAAAATTCTGAGAGTTGAAGTCCACAAGTCTTAAAAGTTGCCAAATTTGGAGAGCCCTGGCTTAAGAGTTAGGGACTGGAGCACACCACGCCTGCCAGATCTTCCTGAATGGGCCACAATAATTGAAGAGCGATCATTCAACAAATAATAAGTAAAGTCGATGTAGGATTTTAAAAGTGATAACTTTTAAGGTAATTTTGAATTGCATCCAGAAGCCAACTAGTAACCGTTTACTCTTCAAACAATGGCATTATATGGACATACTGAGGTTCACCCATAACTATTAGCACTATAGCATTCTGACCAGCTGTAGCTTCTGAGTAATCTTCAATGGCAGCTCCATAGAGAATGCTTTGCATTAATCCAGAAATGAAATATTTTCTGACAGGTGGATGCACCCACTCTCACAGCCACTCACAATTTTAATTTTCTACGGGTGGCTCTGGAGCATATGTGAAGCTCATGGGGATTTTTTGGAAATGAAAATAATGCTGGAGGCAACATAATTTTTAGTCTGCAAACAGCTTTCATTTTATCAGCAGACAGCAGTAGTAGATATAACTAATGCACTTTGAAACGTCTGTTTGACATTAAGGTATCCTTCAAAAGTCTTTTTAAAAAGTGAAACGTGTATCATCGTTCTGATATACAAATATTACAGGACAACCATGCACCGATCTGATCCTCTAATCTGAGTGAACTCAGTAAATTTAAATGTTGCTTATTCTATACTGGAATGTGGTTTAAGCAT